TGCAGCTAGAAGTGCAGCAAGTCGAGGGCTCGGAACATCGCCGAGTCCACCAGAAAATCCGACTCACAAAGGTCACCGAATTAAGGCACTCATTTGGGTTGGTCGGCAATTTGGCTGATGAAGGGAGAGATATTTGCCAGAGGCAACTGCACATTTCGTGGGTCGAATTCGGGGTTATCGGGTTCAATTTTAGTAAGTCAAGTGGACCTTCTAATTGTCCTTTAATTGACTGAACTGCAAGATGTTAGAGATTGTCAGAGTCCAATGGTAAAGTTCTTCATTCATGATGTCTAAAACGTGAAAAATTACTTCATTTTAATAAAAAGACAACACAAACTTTCTACCAATAAATATAGGATTATTTATTTTTAGAAAATTTAGTCTTTTAGGTACAGTTAAGCTTTAATTGTCTTATAGTCAAAAGCAATTTCTTTTCAAAGTACAAGTCCTGTGTTTCTTGCAGTAATCTGTATATATCCAATGTATCTACACTATTCTGCGATATAAATAAAGTTGCTTTGGCAACTTCAACCCTACATTGCTCGAACCTCACAATAAACTGGCTGATTTCATATCCACAATACTAATTATTATTTGAAGAGGCGGAAAGAAAATAGCACAAACCGACAGAAGAAATTATTGTTCAGAGTGCTGCGAAAACATTATTAGCGTATGTGGGTCACAATCGCACTAGCACAAACACTAAAAAAGCACATAGACTCTTTTTGCATTTCACAGAAATCTTGCGAACTTGTTGGGAGCATTGTTATTCTAGCGTATTTTCCACCGCAAACAACTTTTTGCCATAAATACAAATATTCTCCATGTAAGGTGAACCAGAATTTTCCCAGCCATCGCTTCTTTCCGGCTTATTTATTTGTTTTATTATAATAATCTGTGCCAGCACTCCCAAAGGCAACACTTGTAAGCAGGAAGTGCAAGTGACTGCCAACTTTCCCACTCGCTTTTGGTTTGGATAAAATACCTTTCTTATTTCCACATACATATTAGCGTACATGTTTTCGTGCATTGCATGAGAGCCTTATTATTCCTGTAATTATGTTGGCTCGTAAGATACGTATATTCGTAAGGGGATCTTGTTTAGTTTTTAAAAATCATTATTAATATGGAAAACTAATGTTATAAAAAATGTACCTCAATGATTTCCTCAAGCTTTACATTTGTATGTAAAGGACAAATTAATTAAAATTTCTTTATCTGCAATTAAATAAATATTCGATTTCAACAAACTCAAAATTATTATTACCTATTTTTCTTACTTTTTGTAATAAAAAAAAAGTCTATTTAAATTTAACTTTTTTATACATTATCAACTCTCTAGTATCTAGAGTCTAGATTATCCAGTCAGTCAACAACTTCATCGTCATTGCTTAAAATCATTGAAGCTTACACTCATCAACAAAATTGAGACGGAGGAATGGAAAAAAAACATTTCTGCACAAATATTATGGCAGTGGCAATATTTACACTTTTCACGCTTTTCACGTTTCGACTGACTTTCCACTTGCTCATTTTTTGCACTTCGCTATCTCGCTTTATCGCTTTATCTGTATCCATCTATACATCCATCCATCCATCCATCCGTCGAACTTTTCTGTGCACTTTGCTCCTCTTCAACGCTTCGTTTGCCGCACTGGGTTTGCCAAAATAATATTCGTAAATAATTTTTGCACCTTGATGTGATTTGTGCGCAAAAATGTTTTCCAAATGATTTGTTTGCCTAGGTATTTGCTTTTATCTGCTTTTCCCTGCTGTTGGCCAATAGACGAAGGTGAGTTCGGAAAAACCAGAGCAGGAGCACTCAGTGTAATTGTATTTGCCTTTCTGGCTTCCTTCGCGTCGTTTTACGCCCACGCAGCGAAAGTCAAACACAAACAAATAAAGCGTTAAAGAGAAAGAGGAGCGCCAAAGAAAATAGGTGAGGGGGAAGGGGGAGCTGTACCAACGGAAGCGAGGAAAATGTGTGCCGGAAAATGGCGTTGCACATTGATTAAATCAAATAAAACGAAGGCAAATAAGAAAATTGGATAAAGGCAATACAACAATTTTAGTTCGTCAATGCGAACATATTTTTGCATACCTCAAATGCCAAGGTAAATGGAAAATGTTTTGATAGACTTCGTTTATTATAATATTCAAAATAATTTGATAAAATGTAAAAGCCTGTAAAAGATTCCGTTTAGTAATAAAAGTTGTATTTTAAACAATGTTATATAGAAATTTAAATAAATGTAATAGGGGAACAATTTTTAACCAACTCTGCATTCCAAAAAGTTAATCCTGCAAACAATTAGATACAAAATGTGTGTACTATAAAATTATAACAAGATTCTAAGGAAATATCAGTGTTAACAAAGTTCATCATGCTAATATTTATATACAAAATTGGTGTATTATACACAGATAAGTATTTTTCCGAGCTTCCCATCCGAATGCCGCGTATCAGTATTATTAATACCCCTTTCTTGCATCTTTGCAGTTAGTTTCGGGAAACGTGATGCCAAGTTTTCCAGAAGAACTTTGTAATTTCACAAACAATTTTCATGGCACGCAGGCAGGCGAGCGGTGCGAAAAGCGCGAGCATGTGTAAAAGTCGGCAGGACGTGCGTGATGCGGAAAAGTCTATAATTTAAATATGTGTTGTAACACTTTGCTTTAATGGTTGTAACTTGTGTGGCCACTACAAATTGTCGGTCTGTGGCCGCCAGTAACTGACTCATTGTCAGTAAAAAAAAAATGTTAACTGCGCTGCGACTGAGGGTGATAAACAGCTTTAAAGTAATCGAGTCGCATAATAAGCACAAAATATAATGCCCATATAAGCTTACAAAGTACCAAGGCAGAGCAGAGGGGGAGAAATAAAATAAAACTGAAATGGAAAAGTTGTGGAACTGAAAACCGTTTGCCACTGCCACTGATGGCACTACCGATGATGATGTCATCAACGCCACGCAAGGATGTTCCCGAATTATGCATCCTGGTGGCTGAATCCCCCGGTCGAGGACACACAACACAAAACTCCCCGAAATCAATAACAATAACAGGGGAGTTGAGAGTTGAGAGATCTGCCGCAGACGTCGCCAACTCTCCGGCCAGACGTCCCGCCAAAGTGGCGCCAATATTTTTAGCTGTCTCGCTTCCGGATCAGGGTTGATTACCTCCCCCAACCAATCAGCCCGGAAAAACCAACCCCCCCTCACCCCACCCCATCGGCTTTTCATCTCTCCTCTGTTTGTGCTGTTCCGTCTGAGTTGTCATGGCTTTTTGATGACTCTGGTTTGGGGCTTTTCTCCGATAGTTTTCACAGTTGGCCCCTCAACTTTTATGCATTGCCGGCAAGTGTGTGCTTTTTATTTGGCCCTTGTGACTCATGTACCATAACATATTAAAGTCCTGATGTACATAACTTTATTTACCTTAAATGTAAACAAGAATATTTTCTTCGAATCCAGGCAGCTTTTTCAATCAGAATTTTCATTCCCTTGAGGGCAATCGAAATTTTTAATTGAAAATCTAAGGAGGTGTAGGTACAATAAAGAAATTGTTTCTCCATTCCATTGTTTTGTTACCTATATTTTTTAGACCTGCGGTTTTTGGCCAAGTTTTAATTCACTTTGAACTTTTAATTGGCGTCTGGTGTTAATTGATTAATAGTTAATTAAAGTCTGACAATTGCAGGTGCGATCGTTCACCCTTTTATGTGACTAGCTGTATGCATAGGCAAATTGAGGTACCTCTGGGGCTTACAAAGAATTTTAATATCAGAAGCTTTTAACTTAAGTAAAGAAGACATTTCCGACCCTATACAGTATATATATTATTGATCACCATCCCCTTTTTTTCCTTAAAAACCTAATAATAACTTCATTTCGTAATATAAATTAGTATATAAATTTTATGACCAATAATTTATAAAACTTAATTAAAGTCTTTTTTAAATTTCAAAGAAGAAAGTTATAAAGGGACTTTTGTTTTTACTTCCTTCTTCATGCTTAATACCGACATCACCCATACAGACACACTCATATAGTCGCACTAATTAAATAATAAATTTAAGTAGAGACATGTTCATGGCGTTTCGTAGTAGTTGTGTCTTTTGACCAGCGCATTTGTTTTATGTCATCGTCATTTCATAAAAAGCTTTTGCCATGACGACAAGGACGACCTGCACTTACATCCCGCCACTGCATTCACGTTGCGTTCCTGTTTCTGGTAATTACTCAAGCAGACGTCGACGATTCGAGAAGGACCTCCTCCTCATCCTTCTCCCCACTACGAACAAACCACCCACTTGTCGGCTGGCAAACATAATGAACATATGTGACTACTCGTGACACGGCACAGTGGCGTAAAAAGGCTCACTCCACTCACACCACTCCAACACACACACAAATACACACACACAGAGAGAAGTGGGCGTGTGCAGTGGCTGCATAGAAGGGGCGTGGCCAGGGCATTACGCGCACATAATTCTAATTAGTGGCATATGCCACCAGATAGCAGATAGCATGGCCACAGTACCCAGTGCATAGTCCATGTCTCAAATTATGTTATTACGCCTTTTGAGCGCCTAGATTATATTACCATGGCTGCGGGAAAAAATAAAGTCAACCTTTGGAGGCCTTTTCGCAAAAATCTATAGCAAAATGTGTTATAAAAGTTAAAATGGGATTTGAATTGGGTTATTGGTACAGGAAGGTACTGCTAAACAATTATTATAAATTAATAATCAAGCTTCTTAATAAAGTAAGACCCTTTAAAAAGTTATACTATTTTTAATTCAGAAGGCTGACCCAATTACATATACCCTCATTATATATAATTTCTTTAAACTTTAAAAAATTTTCGGACAAAAGTTTTATTACATTTTGAAAAGACTTACATTAATATTGTTAAGTCCAAAGTAGGCCTTGACCAAACCAGCACAGGCCTTGTTAAGCAATGTCCACTTCAAGCCACTCTCAAACAAATTTTGGAATCATAAAGATCAACACCAAATTGTGATTTTGTACTGGACATAGCTGAACAGAACTATTTCAAAAATGTCCAATCTTGATGATTTCTTTGCCAAAAAGGACAACAAAAAGTCAAAAAAAAAAAGTCAAATTACTTGGCCACCAATGAGTTGTACAAAACGCTGGAGGAATCCGCCAAGCAGATAACAGAGGGTGGCAGTGATCCCGATAAAAGTCCAGGCAACGAGGCTCCAGTGGAAGTCCCCATGGGATCCTTTGGATCGACTATGAAACAGCTGGAATTCGGCAATCGATTCGCGGAAGAAACCGTTGACGGGGAGGACGAATGGTGTGATTTCACAGAGGAGAATCGCATGCACTACACTAGCCTACGACGCAGCATCCAGATGAGCCTTAGCTCCACGATTCTGGCTCCATTTTCCGGTGGCGAGGTCAAGGTCAAGGAGTCGGAGCAGCGGGACACCGGAGGCGATGGCATAGACGTGGGTCAGGGACATGATGATGGTATGTCCAATACCTGTTGTCCCTGGCAGAAGTTGGAAAGCCATTTCCTAGAGGCCCCGAAGTATCAGATGGCGCCTAGGGATCAGAAGGACGAGATGGAGCCGGAAAAGCAGGAGAATTTGATCGAGATCAAGCGCCAAGTCTACATACCACCTGCTCTGCGTCAGAGCCAAGGTGACTTCAATCGGCGCCATCAGGCGGAAAACCGCCTGCGCAACACCAACACCCCAACGAAGATGTCGGGAAAACCCCAAGCCCCCGATCTCAATAGTCCCGAATATTTTCCCAGCCTGACTGGTTCCAAAATATGCAAACGCACCAAGTAACCGAATTTGCTACTTTTAATGTTCTTTCCAGTTCGAAGTTTACTACGATCAATTTGTTTTGTGTGGGAGTTCGGGTGCGGAGACTCGCTCCAATAAAAATGAAAGCATACCGCTATCCCCTCTGTTTTGTGGTTCTTTACTCGTAAACAAATTTGCACTCAACAGGCCCATTAGCATTACACGACTTTTTGGGTACTCCCCGATGTGTCGTTAGCTGTAAACGAGCCAAATATTTACAATCAAATCGGTTTTAGTCCTAAATGCACCCGGTGGACTGTGAGCAAAACCAAAAACTGTCCTAAGTTCGACGGGCATGAACTCAAAATGCACATTTAATTATTAGTTGGCAAGTATTAATTGAGAATATACAGTTACACACATTTCTTTTAAATATTTACTTTGCCTTTTCTTGCTTTTGAATAAGTGATTGAAGCTAAGAAATACCCAAAATTCCAAGCATTCCACGATTGATAATGAAAAAAAAACTTAAAACAATAATTTTTAAAATATACGCAAAATTTATTAACATCTATTGCTGTTGGATTAAACTGGGAGGCCCTCGCTAGATTCCCAACAAGATTCATCCCAACAATTTTCGGCACACACAAATTTTCGGCTCCACATTGCTTGCTAACTTTTCTAAATGGCCCTTCATTCTGAATGAGGCTTCAATGAAGCATTGTTTCGAGTTCCTTCTCTGGATTGTGGATGGATAAATCCTACTTTCCTTCTAAGCAGGCTAGCAATGTCCTCCATAGGGCCCGTAGCACGAGCAGCAGCCGTAGGGTCCGCAAGGACCGCAACAGTGGTTGATCGACCGGAACCACTGGCCATTGTAGGGTCCGCACAGCATACAGGGTCCCAGTCCACCAGTCGGTCCGCAGCAGGTGCCGGGCATCGTACACATTCCTGGATTGCACATCTTGGTTTGCTAATAAAATTTACAATTCAAAAAAATATACAAAATAAATATTTATAATTTCACTTTACAAACTCACATTAGCCTGTTTACGGAAGTAGGATTTTTAGCCCAAGAAATTTGGTAGTCGTCCAAAAAGATGTTTTCTGTAAGAGAACCCAAACGAGAATGAGCTCTAACCCCTCACTTGGAAAACTAGGCTTAACATTTTTTACTCTGATTTCATGGCCTTCTAGGTTGCATTTTCATGGCATACTTAAAATTTGTCGCTTAATTCACATTACTTATGATATAAGACGAAGTCGTAAAATTCTTAAAGCTGCTCTCGACAGGCCGTGAATCCAATGAAATTCCACTTCATTGCTCCTCTTAAAATACTTTCAGTGCGTCTTCGTAGGGCTCCTCATTCATTCCCTCTAACTTTCGATGTCATAATTTAGCCAAAGGCGCAACAAGTTGGAAAAGCCCGCCACTGATTTTTCCTTTTTGCCTCGCTTTTATTGTTTTACCGAGAGCAGAGTTTTCTTAAGCATTTTGTGTGGGGCAATGCACACAAACCTATTTTTCTTCTCAGCCGGGATTCCGTCTTCTTGTTTACGGACAACAGAGACAGAGTCGGGATTCGCAGTCAAAGTGAAGTAAAGTCACTTGACAAGTTTTGTCACGTGCGTCACATGCTGGAATGCCACCCCCTCCCCCTGGTGGAAAACCACTTTTCCGAGGCGCCCCTTTTTCCCTCACTGGCTTCTGAGCATTTCGAGCAATTTTCCAGGCATGCTTTGCCGCTCCTGTCGTTGTCGTCATTTCATTGTTTCAAAATTGTTGCTCATGTTGTTTCTGCTGTTGACCCGCTTTTCTGTATTTTTGTTGCCACGTTTCTTGGTCGGCAACCAGGCTTCAACCGAAAGAGCTCTTGTCGGCGTAAATGTGTTTGTGATTATTTAGTTATGGCATCTAATTGAATTTTCAGTTTGTTTGGCTGGCGTGGGAGTGTGGAAAGTGCTTATACAATAGCTAATTGAGTCGATTACTTCAACATTTCTCACGTTATCGCTTACAATCCGGGTGCCAGTCGATATGTACGCACAAATTATATGAATTGATTCAATCAAATAATGTTTATGAATGAATTCCTTAATTTTAATTTAAAGTGAAATCACAGCTTGAATAACTGTAGAGATGGTTAATAAAACAGCGGAAAAGTATTTCTATGATGATCTAATAATGCCTAACTAAAATTAATCTCAATTCTGATCTCTGTAATTTGTGATTAATAAGATATTCTGTAAAGTGAATTTTTATAATCCATGTATTTGTAAGTTTTTCTTTATTTTCGTTGCACTAACAATTCCTATGAATGAAAATCTGCATGCAAACAGGAATGTAACCTATCAGTCTATCGATTTAAATATTGAAAAAACCAGCCAAACTTTATCAGATTAACAAAATTAAATTAAGGCCCTTCCGCTCTTCGTAAACAACCAACTGGCTGGATGGTTGAGCTTATTTTTTGTTCCGATTCAGAGGCCCCAATACCCCATAAGTACCCATATCCCAACATCATCTAAATCGCGTGCTGGTCTCGTATTACAGCATTGCATACTTGCAGGCGCGTGCGCTCCCATTCGATTTGAACTCTGTGGCGACTTTAAAGGAAAGGCATCAGAGAGTCGAATATGTTGTGACTGTGAAGCTTAATGTTTCGTGTTGATGTGGCTTTTTTGTTATTATTTTCGGCTTCTTTTCTGGTATTTTCACAGTTTACAGCAATGCCTTTGTTGCAGCGTGCTGAGAAGTTCAATGTCCCCCATTTTCCAAGCGTCCGTGCAGCGGAAGTTTTAGGGCGATAAGTTTTTTGTTCCCTTGCTTATGTTTTTGATTTATTTATTTGTACGTTACAGCTTAAGGGAGGAAGAAAACTCCATTAAAATTTATAATTTACCTAATACTGCATAATTACACTATAAATTAGGGCTAAAATATTTATTTATTCCATTTTTTGTGTATTTTATTAGGAATGCAACAGGTACTTTAAACTACGTTATATATGGGACAATGTTGTAATAAATACATTTTCTCTGATAGAAATAAGGTTACATTTAAATTGATCTTAATTAATATTCAACGATTAATTTATATTAGTTACATTTTTACGTTCTTGCATTCCTTTAAAATCGGATTATTATAAATGAAATAAATTCGCAATTCAGGAATTAAATAAATGTATTAAAGAAGCATATCATAGTAAATGGATAAATGTTAATAAATATGTAATTTACCATCCAAGTAGAGCTGTTTGTGGTCACTGGACTGCCTGAATAAATCAGGGATGTGGATATATTGACAAAGCTCACGCAGCCAGACATAATGGATGCTGTCTGAGTCAGTCGGTGGATCATGATGCCATATCTGTATGTACGCCAATCCTTACATCGGCATTAACAACATGGTTATGGTTGTGGGGGAATTAGAGCGAGTCAAGTGAACTCCGCCTTTAACTCTCTCTATTGGGATTTCGATTTCTGCAGCGAAGCATAACTCATGCCCATTGTAGTTATGCATTGAATGTTTTGCTGAAGTGCACAACCAAACAACTGCTCAATCACTTACTGAATCAATCAGTCAGAGCACAAAAACCCCGGCGATGTGAAGACGTTTGTGGATTTATAAACCGATGCCAGCAATTATACGCCCAAATGGAGTTTGTCTATAGCCATTCATCCGTTCCCGAGGAAATATGCATTTGTGTGTGCTAAGTTCATATTGTTTGGTTTCGGCAGCTAAAGAGCACTATTATATCTGCACCTTATTCCTATTGAGAGAGAAGCGAGCCAGAATCCGATTGAGTAATCTTAGAAGGGCCTAATTAAGTGGTATTAGTCAAAATTAAGCAATTACTTCTCTTCATCTCCTCGTGAAAGGTAAATCATTGCATTAAAATGGCTCAAGGGATTAAAGATTCTGGCTTATAATATTTTTTTGGGTGAATTAAATACAGAAAACATTAAATTTTTTGGACCTTTAAATAGATGGCAATCCATTTATAAATTCAATTTTATTAAAAACATAGGACCAGTAATTATTAATTTGACCTGATGCCTAAAGAGCTTTCAATACACCGCTCACTACTTTTATTCATTTCCTCTTTGATATTTGATCTGATTTGCACTCTTCTTCATATGAACACACATAGAAATTAAATTTATTTTTTTTTGCCAATCAGCAAATGGAATTTATTTTCTCCACTGCCCAGATATTTTGCAATTATACAAAAAGGTTTTGCTGTGCAATATGTAAACAAAGTCGATTTTAAGTGTTTGCATAGAGTGAATTTAAATTTTTGGTTATTGACCATTGAGGGCAGATGAAAAATGTGCGCATAAATCAAGCAATTAATCTTAATTTGAGTTACTAGACCAGATGTTTGCACCTATACTAATAAATCTAATAAATTGCCTCTTTAAAGTGTCGTTAAATTCCATTTTGGGATGAAACTTTATAAGAGTGGACAACTTGCGCTAAAGGAGTCGCAAAAAAAAGTTTATAATTAAAACTTTACGCACGTTTTGGCCAAGTAAATAGCACAGACGGCTAACACAAACACAATGCCAACACTAGCGCAAACAAGAAGCCATGGTTTTGCTCCTTTTGGTACGCATCCAGCGTACGAGAATTTTGTGCTGCATACTTAAGTGGGCAAAGTCTTCAGAGACAGAACATATGCCAGGGTTAAGGAACCCAGTGGAATGGGAGTGGATGCTGCAGGGCCTCGAGATTGACACTAATTATGGGACCGGCAGCTCCTTGCATTCAAATACTCCCTAGAGTTTGCAAGCGATTGCAAGCCACAGCTTTTAGCTGTATAACCATCTCGTAACTAGCAAACATATTATTCATGAGCAACTGTAAAAACAACATCAACCAAAAATGTAAGTCAAACGAAAGTTCATATGTAAATATTTTCAACATGCTGTGTTTGTTTTAAAATTTGGCCAACCAGTTTGAATTTGGTCAGTTGATTGCTGGCTGCTGCATAAATAAATGAAAATGCTATATTTGGGGTGGGCCCTTAACACTAGCTTACAAAGCTATATCGACAAAATGCTAAATAAATCCAAGTTTGATTTTTCGATGATGAAAATGGAAACCAA